AAAAAAAAAAAAAAAAAAAAAAAAATTAAAGAAAAAAAGAAAAAAGAAGAAAACCAAAGGAATCTCTAAGCCTAAGGGCTTCAAAATTAGAGGCAGAGCCTTCTCTCCAGTTTCTATATTTATATGAAAATAATTCATGCTTCATGCTAAATACATTATTTACCTTACAAGAACTTTGTTATTTTTGAGTTAAAAAAAAGTTTGTGTTTTTCTGATGTTTTTTTCTCCCCCAAAGGAATCCATGCACTGGGTCAGAAATTTCTGCTGGCTACACTGGCTGAATGTGGAAATCACTGATTTTCAGAACAATGAATCCTGCCTGATATTAACCAGAAACTCCATATTGAGGGCAGTAGAGGAGTTTTTAGTTTTTGTCATGTTTCACTTTTTTTTTTTTTTTGTCCATCCATGTGCCTTTAACCTCTTAAAAAGATACCATAATACTAATGGCAGGTTTTGTAGCTTTTTTTGTTTCGTTTTCCCACTTGGATTAAATACTTTTGATGGACAGAAAAATATCTGCACCATTATTTCTTTTCTTAACAGCTATTATAATTTCTTGAGCTTGATTGCTTTTCACCTGGGCAGTTAAGAAGACATAGCTTGTTTTTTGCATCAGTTTTCTCTGTCACTTTGTCTCTCTCTCATGTGTGTGTGTGTGTGTGTGCATATGTGTGTGAGTGCAGGGCCAACCTTCAGGCTTATGGCTTCTAGAACATTTTCTTAATTTAATATAGAACAGAATTCATTGATTAGTAACATCACTAAAACTTCACCCCATTTTCCTCCCATGATTCCCTGACTCCTGATGTCTATGAACAATCCAGTGTCCACCTTTTAAGACGTCACCAGGCTTCATGGGTAAGAAGCCCAGGGGACTGGTAGCTGACCCCCGACCAAAGCCCTTCCTGGCACAATCTGATGCCTCGTGCCACAGGCTGGGCCTGCTCCTAGGGGCCGCGGGACTTCTCCCTCGTCCCTGATCACTTCCTGTGCATTCACAGGGAACCCACTCGGATGGCTCGCCTTACTTTTTAAACCTAAGGGTTGGGCCTGAACGGTGTCTACTTTCCACACGTGCCTTCTAGGTGCTGATGTGTCTCCCGTGGCCTTCACGGTGACATCCCTGTGGTACAGCCACGTCTCCGACAAGCCGGCGGAAGCAATGGTCATTTTGGCTTTTTCGGTTTTGTCTTCAGAGAATGAAAAGCTTTTTGTAAAACAGCTGAGTGTCAATATGAGTTCTATGGCTTCAATCTCCTTTAAAAAGAAAATTCTTAAGGGTCTGAAACAAAGGAAGGGGCAAATTAAGAAACAAAAAACAAACAAAAAAAAAAAAAAAAAAAGAAGAAAAGAAAGAAAACCAAACCAAAAAAGAAAAAGAAAAAATCAATTGCTGCTATTGCCACAAATCATTAGAAATCTCCTGACATGCTGAAACCAAATGGCCGGAAGTTCAAAACAAATCGGTGACTTGTTTTTAATTTTTTGTGGTTTCCTTTTGCTCTTTCTGCCCCTTTGCCGTCCGATTGGTGATGTTATTTAAACAGGAACGGATCCCCGCCAAGTGCAGGAGCGACCCCGCCGCCTCCTTCATCTCCTCGTCGTCACTCTCAGGAGGCTTTTCCGTGAGTCTCTTTTTGAGGGGCAGCGTGTCACTGGCGACCTTCCTCGCCTTGGCCAAGTGCTGCCGCTTCCTGTGCTGGGGCACGTACCCGCTGTCTCCCAGGGCATCCTTGGCCTCCTTCTGGCTGTGTTTCCTGTCGTCCTCCTCCATGTCGCTGTGGCTCTCCTGGCTCTGAACGCTCCCCTCGCTGCCTTCACTGCCCTCCTGGTTGCCCTTGGTGGCGAACTCGTAGTGGTCATCGGCTGAGGAGGAGGAGATGGAGTCGCTGGCCGGGGAGGAGCTCCGGGCGTTGGAGGATTTGGCACTGCTGTAGTTGTGATCCTCCTTGGGGTCGCCGCTGACCACTGGGGAGCCACAGGACGGCTCGCTCTCAGTCCGCATCCGACAACTGGTGATGCCATTCCTACAGGCAGGGGCAGTGGACAGGGGCAGGAGACACAAAGGGGACACACATTAATCCCATGTTGGAGACACGAAGGTCCCCAGGTGCCACACATGATCCGTGCTCAAACTTTACCTTAAAAGCTTGGTGGTTCACACCCACCCAGTGGTGCCTGGGGATCTGCTTCTTAAAGCTTACAACCAGGAAAACCCTAAAGAGTGCTCTCTGTACCACAGGGCATTGCACGTGTCAGAATCAACTCCACAGCAAGAGATTCGGTTCAGAGTTGAGGGAGGAGATACCAGCAGTCCATCTGCCTGCACTCCAACGGCTGCTCCCGAGACCAAAAATCTAGCCATTTGGAAACTGTGGGGCAACTGGTGATCCGCTTTGAAGATAGGGTCGTACATCCTGACACCTAAGTCATCTCTGTTTCTTCCCCATCACCGGTGGCACTGTCACATGATTTGTGTGGCTGACATGTCAAAACAACTCTCTGCTGAACTGAGAGCACTGGAAGCTCAATGTCTTAGATCAAAGCAGAGAAAGCAAGCCATGCTGGTCCTGGAGACCCGGCCACACCGTGGAGTCCGACACCACCAGGCACTGGCTGGGCACTCCAGAGGAGAAAGGACGCTCTCTTCTAGTGTCTTTTGTCAGAAGACTAAATCCAGTGTTCATCAGCAAAAGCCACCTGCCACATAGTGACAGCTATTCACTCATGCATCTCCAAGCTCATTCGTTTATTCCACAAATATTCACCAAACACCTAATGCAAAAGCATGACCTTGGGAAGGGTCCCTGGGAGGCTGACAAGGTCAATTCCGATGCAGAGACTGTCACAAAGATGCATACCATCTCAAATAACAGCAAGTCACGGTCAGATCACAGACGAGAGAGCAATAAGCTACTATTTACTGAGCTAACAACCTGCTGGCACGGCGCTCAGGCTGCATGTGTGATTGCTCTAACTCTATAAAGTGGATGTTCCATCCTTAGTTTACAGATGCTGGAAGCGGGGTCTGGAGACATTAAGTAACTTACTTAAAGTCACACAGCTGATAAGTACTGGAATCCAGATCAATAGGATTGTCAAGGCTGAGCCCTTACTTACATCATCAGGTTAAGGCCCGCTCTTCCCCGATTTCCTTGTATTTCAGTCCCCTGCTGGAGTCCCTGTGCTGGCTGGTGCAAACATTTAACATGTTTGCTTTAATTGAAAAGTTGGTGGTCTGAGTCCACCCAAAAGTGCCTCGGAAGAAAGTCCTGGAAATCTACCTCTGAAAAATCATCTGTCAAAAATCCTACGAAGCACGGTTTGATCCCAACACACTGGGGCTACCATGTGACGGAGTCACTTTGACAACTGCTTTCTTAGCCACCCCACCCCCACCAGACATTTCTATCCACACTCCACGGCATTCACCACACCTGGGATATTTTCTCTGTGTCCTTATTCCGGGGAAATGCACTGACCTCCCTTTTGCTTCTTTACCTGCAAAGCAGGAACAGTAACTACCCCACCTGCTGCTGGGATCAGGACGTGTGGGAATGCCTGCGGATGCCTAGATCAGTGACTGGCGTATAAGCAGCGGTTATGACGCCGGGTCCTGGCTGCGCCCCTATTCAATGGGTGGACATTGATGCTATCTGCTCTGTGGCTGTCCTCTTGACCATGCCGGGCACACAGCAGGAGTCCAGGAGAGGACGAAATCAGAGGGATATGTACTCAGAGCAGGGGACGGTTGCTCACAACCGGAGATGACAAAGGCAGGGCTCCAGGAAAGTTCAGTGGGAGATGTGGCATCTGACATTGGACGCAGGGCTGAAAGCTCTGGGCAAGGGAAGGTATGTCCTCCTGCTTCCTGCAAGCTTATCTACCTGATGACACCTATCGGGGGAACACAACCACTCTTTTCCTTCCTAGATGAGCCCAACTGTGTGAACTCTTGACCTGCCCTCCACAGACAGCACTTACCACCGCAGCTCTTGTTGTCCCTGGGTGCCACTGATTCTG